AATACTTAATAAGTAATATACGAACATAAAGATATGCATTATAAAGTTGGTTAAATTTGCATCAATATGGCATCTCATTTGGAAGTAGAAAGGCTGACGGATATAGGTAAGGAGTTCGGGTTATCGGGAAAAGAGTTAAGAGTATTTGTAAATGAAGAGAGACAGAAGTTAAATGAGCAGAGAGATGTAGAGAGAGCACTTAGGGCAGAGATGTGGGAAGACGAAAAGAGGAGAAAAGAGATTGATCTTGAGATTGAATTGGATAAAAAGCGTGTTGAGGCTGATATAGATTTGAAAAAGGAGGCAGAACAAGTTAAAATATTGCAATTACAAATACAACTTGAACAGGCAAAGGCTGCACATCAAGTAGCCGCTAATGATACAATTATTTCTAGTTCCAAGGGTAAACCCCCTAAATTACCAACCTTTAATCCCGAAAAAGATGATATCGATGCTTACATAAGTAGGTTTGAACGTTATGCCACCACCCAGGGTTGGAAAAGGGATCAGGAATGGGCAACTAATTTGGGTGCTTTACTCCAGGGTACTGCCTTATTTGAACATACTCTTCTTCCTCCAGACGAAATTAATAATTATGATAAAGTAAAACAGGTAGTTTTAAAAGCTTATCACTTAACGGCAGATGGCTTTAGAAAGAAATTTAGAGAAATAAGACCCGAATCGGGTGAAAATGGGATAAAATTCCTTAATAGATTTAAAAATTACTTAAATAGATGGATTGAGATGTCAGACGAAAAAGATATTAATGGCATCATAGAATTATTGCTTATGGAACAGTTTTTGTCCTGTTGTTCTAAGGAACATGCTATTTTCTTAAGAGAAAGAAAACCCAAAGATTCCATAATTATGGCAAGTTTTTCTAATCAGTATTTAGAAGGGAACCCAACCTGTTCATGTCGAAAGGGGAAAGTGTCCTTCAATGAGTAGTTATGATTGTCCTAGAGTTAGTGGTCCTAAAGATAATGGTCATAGAGATAGTGGTCCTAGGGAAACGTATAGAAGGGGAGGTCCTGTGACGTATGCTCCTCGTAGATGCTACATTTGTAATCGAATTGGTCATGTTGCCCGTGATTGTTTTAGAAAGAAAAATATTAGAGCGGGGATGATAGGGAAAAGAGAAGCTGATCCGATGGGAAAAGGTAAGTGGAGTTCTTCTATAGAGAATACTTATTCTGATGTTTATAAAAAGCCTAATGATTTACCAGATGCAACTAAATTAGTATCATGTGAAGGTGACGATAATAAGATGCCGATACAAACTGGATATATTGGTAAGTATGAAGTTCAAGTTTTGCGTTATTCAGGCTGTACAAATGTTGTGGTTAATAGTGCATATGGTGAGTCAGCACAGTATACCGGGGAGAAGAAAGTGGTTATGCTTATAGCTATATAGACCCATTATTATTCGCCTACAGAGAGGTACCTCAAGAAAGCACTGGTTTCTCACCATTTGAGTTACTATATGGCCGTAGTGTCAGAGGGCTCATGATGATTATCAAAGAGTTATGGACAGGATGTCATAGACATTGTGAACAAAAGCCAGCCTATAAATATGTCCTTGATTTGAAGGATAGATTGGAACACACTTGTGCAATAGCCAAAAATGATTACATAAAGCTAGTAAACGCTACAAGAAGTATTATGACAAAAAGGCGAAACCTAGAGAGTTAGAGATAAGGAAAGAGGTTTTGGTTTTACTCCCAACAGATTCCAACAAATTACTTACGTCTTGGAAAGGGCTATTTCCTATTTCCCAAAAAGGTAAACCCTCTTAACTACCAAGTGAACTTTGGCCATCGTGAGAATTTTTTTCATAATATTATGTTTAAAAAATTTGTAAGAAGGAACAGTGAGAAGAAGGTAGATGAATTAGCGTGCATTGCGGTGGTTGAGTATGAAAAGAATGAAGAGGATGTAATTGGTAGAGAAAAGGAGCAGGTGGGGTTGGCACCTCTTAAAAGTAAGGAGAGTATCAAAGATGTAAGTGTTTGCCGGGATTTGCCTAAAAGTAAACGTATGGAAGTAAAGAGTGTTATGAAGAAGTTTTGTGACGTAATGACTGATGTACCGGGTAAAACCAATTTGGGACAACATAAGATAATACTAAATAACAATACTCCTGTAAGAAGTAAAGCATATCCCATCCCACATGCTATGCGTAAAGAAGTGGAAAAGGATATCCAAGAAATGCTGACGTTATAATATCCCCAAGTTAAAGGCCATACGCTAGTCCTATTGTTCTAGTTAATAACTAGATGGGACGAAGCGTATCTGCTGTGATATGCGTAAAATTAATGTATTTACTGTATTTGATGCCGAAACTATTCCGGGTCCTCCTGACGAGGTATTTGCAGTATTAGCAAAAGATATTTTCTTTACTAAAATCGACCTAAGCAAAGGTTATTGGCAGATACCTATGGCACCGGAATCAAAGCATTTGACGGCCTTCACTATTCATGTTGGACTTTTACTCGCGTTATGCGTAGATTGTTACAAGGGTTACCTAATGTCCATAATTACATTGATGATGTATTGATACATACTGAAACGTGGGAGATGCAAATTTAACTGCGAGACCAACTAAATGCTACATATGGTACAGAGAGGTAGAATTTCTCGGACATGTAGTGGGTAATGGGAAACTTAAACCCAAATATGATAAAGTACAAGCAATAAAAGATGATAAAAGTACATACTACAAAAAGTCAAATGAGGTCATTTCTAGGACTAGTAGGATATTACAGGAAATTTGTAGATAACTTTGCTTCTATATCCGCTCATTTATCTGATGTAACCAAGAAACGACAGCCTAATATAATAGCATGGAATGATGAGTTAGAAAGGGCGTTTACAGTTCTTAAACGAAAATTGTATTTAGGCCCTATTTTACAATTACCCGACATCAACAAAGAATCAAGGACTGATGCGGGCAACACAGGTATTGGTGCAGCATTACTCCAGGAAACGGCTGGAGAAATATTTTGTCGTTTCATATGCATGAAAGAAACTCAGTGAGACCCAAAAGAGATATTCAGTTATTGAAAAGTAATGTCTTGCAATTATATGGTGAAAGAAAAGATTTGAACCCTACCTTTATGGTAGAGAGTTTGTGATCGAAACAGTTCACCAGCCTCTCACATCTCTTAGAAAAACACAGGTGGTAAATGGTCTTACGATGGGCTCTTATTTTACAACCTTTCACATACCGAATCAGGGTCATAAAAGGAGTAAATAATGTCGGAGAAGATTGTTTAAGTCGTATATAAATTTAACATCAGAATGAGTTTGCTTGTATGAAATTAAATGTATTTTTTTTTAATATATAAGAAAGTTGATTATATGCCTACAATTGGCCAGAAAATATTTGATTTGGAATTTCTGCTCTCTGTTAGCCATATTGATGTTTATGATTGATTATATGTAGTTAAGATAAAGAAAGTGTATTTTGTTAAATGGCGGTGCATTTAACTTGGGTTGGGGGTTAATTGTCACGGTTAAAACGATCATCTAGCGCTATAATTTGCGTATTTATAATGGAAGCAATTAAGCATGACTTTAATTAGCGTAATCATTGTCTGAGGTGTACCGCCGTATAAAAACAAAATATGCTAAGTCATGCGACACACCTCAAACGATACGAGCTACTTACGGTCACGTAAGGGAGCTGTCGTCAAGACAGCCCTCAATTTAGATGTTCATTGTGAGTACAAATACATTATATTTTGTTTTACTAATTAGTAAATTGTTATAATTATCATAGGCTTGATTAATGATTAATTGTAATGAAATAAATGGTGGTTATTAGAAAATTGATTTTATTTGTTATAGTGCCACCCGTGTCTGTACCTGTGCATGTGCCTGTTACTGACCGATGGGAGTTGAATAGTTATGTTACTGTATATGTGCAACGATAAACCGTCGGGAAGAACCATTATGTTGTTGAGAAGAGAAGATGCATATTGAATTTTATTTATTAAAGACTTTACTTTTATATTTTAACTTTGTTTTGCAGTGTACTATTATTTGTCTGTTACCCCATTATGCCTCATCATTACAGTTCATCTTTAGTGTGACACACTTCTAAGTGATATACTAAATTATAGCTCGCATCCAACCCACCTTTAGTGTGACACACTTCTAAGTGATATACCAAATTATAACTCGCATCCAACCAACATTTGCAACATCTATGGTGTGATTTACATCAAAAAGGCGAAGCAATATTCAATGCACTGTCGTCTCGCGATCTCGATAGATGTAAACAAAACTTATTATCCACTATAACTCACGTGACCCGAGCCGCCGATTCGGTCTATTACGTAAAATAATGAGTAACTATTATATTTAACATAACTAACAATCTTTACCAACATTTTTCAATTTATAAATAAGATAATTATGATTGATTGAATTAGATGCACATTTGAGATCAACAATGCAATATAGATTCGGCCACGTTTATTTGAAAGGTTTTTTTTAAATTATCGAATCTAAAATAAAAGTAAAACAAAAAGACAGTATATAGATCGATATAATATTTGATCATTTTCAGAAAAATAGTATTCTTGAAAATGATCAAATAGATCTAAATGTTGAATCTCAAAATGCCTGTCTCTTTTCGGAGTTACTGTATTTTTTTGAATTTAAGACTAATTAATGGATCCTCTGGTTTTTAAAATGAAAGTATTATCTGTTATTCTATAGTTCTTTCAGAACACGACGTTTTTTTTTTTTTGATATAATGAATTTGTATCTTCAGACAAGTCATTAAGTCTACGACGTTTGAAGTTTGACATTAAGTATTGATCAATCCATAATATCTCTACTGGTCGTAGAGGATTGAACTTTGTTTTAAGTTACTCAAATACACATGTTTTTACAATGAAAATACAATGTTTTAACAAAGTGTGCTAAGAAGTTGTGCAAGTAAACTTTCACCCATATCTATATAACTAACTTCATTTAACTTATTTCTCCAGGTGACATTGGCGGGTATATGGGTCTACTTTGTGGAATGAGTTTAACTACCATGTTTGAGTTCGTCGACTTCTTACTTTGCGCTGCCGTCAAGAAATGGAAACGACGTTAATATTTATAGAAGCGTGCTTCTATTTTTTTAATAGTTTTTTCGTACAGCTCATAGAGACCACGTATTATGTCTCCAATCATGGACCTATTAATAAGTCCATGCTCCAATCATTACCACTTGTTAACGCTGTTTATTCATTCCCCTATCTCACCTAGCCTATTGTTTATAATCATGTTGGCATGACATTTCTGATCTTATACTATCTGGCTTTTGTTAGACCTTCTGTTGTCTATGCAGACACCTTCTTCAACTGAGCAATTGAGGCTTTTTTTAGGAATTAGAAAATTCTTCGCGCTTTTTGCGTATGCGAAGTTGATGCATAAAATATAATAGAGATCACAATTTTATTTAGTATATGATAGCAAGAAACGATCTATTAGTAACTAAAAATACATTTTCTGTAAATACATCATGATTTATTATTTGGGGCGAAGTAAATAACTTAATGGTTTTGATGCTAGCCTTCTAATACCAAGGTCGAGATACAAATTTAATAAGCAACATCTAAAAATTATATGTAAATACACAGCCAGAATTAGAACAAAAGCTTTCGGACAACACTAGTTCTCAGCGGCGAGGGGATATATATATACATACATATATATGTGTGTATGTGTGTATATATGTGTGTGTATGTATGTGTGTGTATATATATATATATATATGTATGGGTGTGTGTGTACGTACATCTAATGTTTGCCAATACTACACCAAATACACGAGATAATACGATATGTATTATATATATGTATGTATATCTTTAATATCATTAAACTACGTTATTGCAGCAGTCAAAAAAAATCTTGTAGTTGTTATATGATACTAGCGTTCTCTTAAATTGTATTTCTTGTACACATTGGAATATTTTAGTTAAGGGAAATCTCATTTTTTATGACCAGTGGTTAATGGATTAGGCCATCAAAATGAAGATTTTTAAATCCTTTGTGATGCAATATTTCTAATAGCTTAAACATAAACCTCAAACTACTGAAATTGGACCGATCATCTTCGCCGAACGTTTTTGGCGATAGCGTGCATTATTCGTTTTGTCTAAAATTGTGTATGTCTACATCAGGGCATGCGGAACGTTTTTCAAATGGGGGGGGGGGCACTTTTAAGATGAATGAGAATATGAATCATACAAATCTGGAATCAAATCTAGGGGTCTGGGGTCCTCCTAATGGGAAAATGTTGATTTCTAGATGGCGGGAAATGACTTTTCTCGACTTTTGAGCCAGGTGTCTAATGACTTTGTTCTTCAAAATTCAAGGTTTTCCCCCTCTTGAAAACGGTCAGGTAAACTTCCTCATACTTATTACAGTAAATAGGCCTGATATGTGTGTAAACATACATTAAAAAAAATTAGTAGTTGTGTAGGCTTTTTTCAAAGATTCCATAAGCTCCAAAGAAAAGGGGATCCGGGGGTTCTTCCCCGGGAAAATGTTGATTCCTAGATGTCGGGAAATGAGCTTTTTCGATATTTGAATTGTGTTTTAATGACTTTTATGTTCTTCAAATTTCTAATTTTCTTAAGTGTAAAAAAAAATCAGCTCACGGGTCCTGAAAAGGTAGGTCTAGAATTTTTCCCCCTTTTTTTTGGCCCAAGGGAGGGGTCAGGACCGATGACCCCCTCCCCCAGATCCGCTAAAGTGAATTGCGAGAAAATGTAACTCGGTCGGGGACTGGATAAACATTCTATTTCCCATCCTTCTCCGCCTTCCCTCTTTCTTTTCTTGCATTTCTTGATCATACAAAAATCTCCAAACATTATATATTTTTTTCCAAAAAGTGGGGGACCTGGAAAGTGTGTATAAGAGACAGCCCCCGGTTCTGCCGGCCATGTACATATTTCTTTGTACTGTAGTACAGTGCAATACAATTAATTGTGTTTTAATAAAACAAATAACTGATATGTCTAATCCTTGAATAAGATATTATAATATTTAAAGAGAAGAAATAGCGAGCTGCTTCAGTAAAGAACAAACAAATCAATGTAGTATAATAGTTTCTTTCTTTTATAAATACTAAGCAGCAGCAAATTACACAAAGACATAATCAACCCTCGTTGACGACTGTGTTTAAACGAAGTTTAAGAATGGCTATGGGCCAAACAGAACAAGCAGCTTTTCTGAAAAGATGCTATACCAGGGAAATTGTGTTTTAATGTCAATATGCGTTGGGTGTTGTACTAGTTCTATTGTATAATACTGAACTTTCTTAAATCGAGTGTTTTTACTGACGAGCTACTATTATTTTGTCATAGTGATATTCTATCTGCTAATCTAGACACTTTATTGCTACCATGTTGTGTGCATTTTCTAATAAGAACAACATTACTTCATAGTTTTGAACAAATAAATGTAATATAACATACTTAAATGTATATATTATTTTAGTAGATTTAGTCCCAAGGACGATACATTTTTGTATAAAAATGTAAGTAAATTATAAAGCAACTGATTTATAATAATATTATGATAACTAAGTAAAGTACCCAAAGAATAAAAAAAAGATATTCCTTTCTTTTTCGTTTGTTCTTCCATGAACTGATGATAGTTAATGTTTTGAAAGATGTTTTCGGAATTGAAAGTTACTATTATATTCGTCCGCTGTCTACAACTTATTAATTTAAAACGTTGTTCTTGTAAACCTGATTGTTGACGCTAATTGTCGAATTACGCACGAAAAAAGTTATGCAAAAAATAAGCAAAATTGTTCTTAACATGTTTACATAACTTTAAACAGTTTGGGGCTTACGCCACAATAGTAACAATATCATTATTTTTATTTTATTATTATTTATAATAATAGTTAATAAAAACGATGATAATTATAATACTTTTATTATTGAAAATAATAATGGTAGTAATATTAGTAGTATTAATAATGATAATAATACATGTAAATGATTTTATGATTAGATGTAAAGACAAGAAAACTCCCAAGCTATCTAATTATAAGTGATCTTATCTGATACAATATTATTATTCATAATATAAATAAAATTGTAATCATTTTTTGAGCATTTACAACATGAATTTACTTTTAAGAAGTTGGTTATTATATCACTGAACAACACTATAA